TATCTTAAGTCAACCGATCCTAAAAACTGATTTTTAAAGGTAGTTGTCTTAAAAAAACCATACCTGAAAAACAATTTATAGGGATGGTTTTAAAGCCCTCTGTGAAAATAACTTATTTTTATATTCGATGGCATAGTAACGATTTTTATTAGTGAATTAGGCAAGAAATTTAAAATTTTGCTTAGAAGTCTTGTATACTAGGTTAAAAATATCATTGGAAGTCTTAAATTCAACAATCAAGTGCACAAGTGTTGCATATAAATTATAATACAAATAGTTCAACGTATTAACTCATAAATATGAAAAAAGAAGCTTACTACTTTTTTTGCGAAACAGCTTACTACTTGCTTCACCCACATTTTCAGCATCGAAAAAGCGATGCATTGTCCCCTTTAATCTCCTCTTCATAATTCATCGTATCAATTCTGCTAACAAAATAGGCAGTGCATTAAAAAGTGACTCTATTTGTTGTTGGAGCATCTTCAAGAGTACCCCGAAGAGTCTATCAATCTAGGAATTTTGGCAAGATTGAAAAATCTCATCTCCAACAACACCCAAACCCACCTTCTAATCTTTTGGCACTTGAAAAAAACCACCCCCATGGACGTATAGTCGCCCAATATAGAGGTGAAAGGACGTGGGGAAGAAAAAAAAGTAAAACAGGGTTCCTGAGGCAAATGTACAGAGAGAAATAAATTATAAAAATGGTTAATGTGATTTAGAAATAGTTTAGGATTCCGGATGTAAAATTACCTTTTGTCTTTTAGGCGTGACATTTTAGAAACTGTTGTATATTTTGCAAAGGTCAAAAAAATCTATTTTTGAGAGTATTTTTTTTAGATACTGTTGGAGATGCTTTTGGTCTGTAAATCAATTACATTCAGATGAAATAGCACTCACATGGATGGTGATCGCAACCAACAAGAGAGGGAACATGGAACCCACTGTCACTGTCGAGCTGCAGTGAACTGAAGGAAATCCCCTGCTGCTTCCAGACTGTCAAACTGAACAGGAGATCAGTGCCCTTATTAAATCCAGTAATTTAACCAAACACAAACATCAAACAACACTGTAAACATAGGTATTTGAGAGCGGAGACTATTTTAGATCTTGTGAGATTAAGAGAACTGGTAAAATGAAGGAAAGGGGAATGCATATATGTATATACCTCACCAGATGATTGGAACCACGAGCATCTCAAAGAACGAAGAATTGCTGCAGCTGCCGATGGTGAAATCAGAAGAGGAGAGGAGAGAAACACGGGCAGCAAGCAACTGGAACAAATCATCGCTCACCGCTAATGGGATCGGACTCAGCGGCCGGGTGTCAACTGTCAAGGCGATCCAATCCGATGGGATGGGAAGATGGGGAGACGACCGATCGGCGAACCGTCGCGAACTTGCAAAGGCGCTGTGCGGCGGTGGCTAAGGACAAGGTACGGGAGAAGGCAGAAATCTTTTTTCCTTATCTATTTATATAAATGGGCTGTATTGGGCCATATAAATGGGTTGTATTGGGCCATCCATAGGGTATGTCGTGGTCCAAGTTGCATATCCTTTTACAGGGCCTTTCGATAAAGGGATAAAGGGAGTGGGACAGGAATAGCAAAATAGATAAACGGACAAGATTAAATGAGGTGTAAAGAATGGATGGCTATGATATAATATTACCCCTTGAAGAGTGGGATATCCATATCTCTATCCCTATGCTTCAAGGCTAGGATCCATCGAGCTCTTAGCATGTGTTTTGGTGGGAGGACAGTGGAGATAGAATAAAGCAATCCATTTTTAATAGTGTTTGGCTTAGAGAGAATTAGGACGGGATTCAGTCCCTATGAGAATATCCGGAAAAATATAGAAAACAACACTCCTTTCAAGAAACAGAATATTTGATGAATTCACATAGTAGCACTAGAACCACTAAACTTTGAGTCTATTTTAACCTCTTTTATTTATTTTTCCATAACTTTTCAATATAGCATGTAATTAAATCGTGTTGCGCACAAACCATCACCCATTGTGCCCCTTCTGTGTATTTTTTATCGAAAATACTAAATAAACCCATGCATGTGGGGAAATTACCGATAGTGAATAGATATAGATACTACTTTCAGTAAAGTTTAAGTGGATTTATATTATTATTATTTTTTTGTTGTTGTTGTTGTTGTTGTTGTTGTTGTTGTTGTTGTTGTTGTTGTTGTTGTTGTTGTTGTTGTTGTTGTTGTTGTTGTTGTTGTTCAATATGAATTTTTCTGGATTTCTTTTCAATATGCAATTTTCTTCATGTTTGTTATTCATTATGTCGTTTCTAAAATTCTTATGATTAATGTAGCTTCCATATCTTTCCATTAATCCATTTTAAGACTGACCCTATATGCATGTATTTTTATTTAGTTAGAGTAGTGTCTTTGTTTAAAAGACTAAGGTACAAGGTTGGATGACATGCCTTGCAGGAGCGCAAGAAATATTGACAAAGTTATGTAAAAATGAAAGAGGTTAAAATAGAGGTGGTGTTGTTTTGTGATATTTTTTAGTGCCCCAGTGCTAATCTACGAATTCACCGATTAGTGATGATTTCTAGGCACCACTCTAAAGGAGCGTTGCTTTGTGGATTCCTCGGAATATCCACGGAACATTTCTTGAAAATAGGATGCCTTAATCCATAAAAACCAGGGGACGCTGAGGGGCGAGCTCTCTTCTTCCTGTTCGTGTGGGCAAGCATGGGCCGATGGAGGGTGAGCTGCCGCGGTGGCCTAGGCTGAGCATGCCCAGGGTGTGGCTTCGGGTTTTTTTTTTGACTTGCGCGGCTTCGGGGTTCGGGCAGCGAGCTGTAGCCTGTGTGGGAACATATTTGTTGTATTTCTCTAATGGTTTGTAAAATCTGACTTGCAAAATATAGAAAATAATTTTCTATAAGGAATCCTAAACTATTTCTAAATCATACCAACCATTTTTTACTTTTATCTCTTATACATTTGCATTGAGAACCCTGTGGTACTCCTTATTCTTTCCCTATGTCATTCCACCTCTAGATTGACCGATCAATGTACATGCTATTGGATCAATTTTCCATGTGCGGAAAGATTATGAGGTGAGATAGGGAGTTGTTGGAGAGCTGTTTTTTTTAGTATTATTACTAAAAGATCAAGATTGGAAGTGGAGTTTAGAAACTCGAGGAGATGCTCTGAGCACAAGTAACCCATGAATGAATATGGAGGTGGGAGAATGTGGGAAAAGAATAAGGTTTTTAATGTAAATGTACACGAGTGAAAAAATATAAAATAATTAGGGTGACTTATAAAAATAATTCATGACTCATGATACAATATCCGATCAGTCAATATAGAGGTGAGAGGACGTGACAAGAATAAAGAAAAAACATATGTTTCCAGTACAAATATAAATGACAAAAAATATAAAAATGGTTGAAATAATTTTAAAATAGTGCGGGATTTCTGGTGCAAAATTATTTTTGACTTTTTAAAAGCTATAAATACTGAAAATGATAGGAGAACGTCAACAAATATATTTCCTACAGTATTTTTTAGCGACTCGAAAAACAAATTTATCAAATTTTCTTTTATTCCAGACGAGGCCCGCGCCCGCCGCCGCCGCCGACGGAGGCGCCGCACCACTCTTCTGCCCGGCGCGCTCGGGACCCGAACTGCGCGCACCCCGTCCACCGCTGACCGCTCGTTCGTCAGCTTTCACCGGGGCGCATGAGCCCCCGGTCTATGCTACTCCACCGGCGCCCCTGGCCCTGCCGCCTGCGCCGCTCGTTGCCCCGTGCACTCCGCGCGCCACGGGAATGGCCAACGGGGACATTTATCGGTTTGCCCACCGTCCCCTCTTCCCTCATCTTCTCTTTCTCTTCTCTCTTTCCGCTCTGCCTCTCTCCCTTTCTCTCCGGCTTCCGATTGGGGATTGTTTATTGGCTTCTGGTTTTAATCAGTTACTGTATTTGCATGTTCAGGTATGTTATTCCACTAGAATTGCTAGGTGCATTAGCGCTCAGTGATAGTTATGCATTTATCATTGAAATATTACAGCGTATATATATGCTTTTAGGAGAGTAAAACTCGATTACCTTACAATGTGTGTTACATATATATTAATATAGTTGTGGAATTCTAGCACAATACCTTATCCAACAATCATAAGGTTCCTTTTTGGCCTCTGCTCGCATAATCAGATGACCTCCACTTTAGCTTAAGAGCTGTGGAATTCTAGCACAATACATTATCCAACAATCATAAGGTTCTTTTTGGCCTTTGCTCGCATAATCAGATGACCTCCACTTTAGCTTAAGATGCTAGATATGTTGATTTGATCGTTTTGCTTCTTATGCTCGTGGAATCAGATTCTTTGCTACAGCCGGTTGGTGATACAATCATTCAATAGATGGATCTTGTGAAAACTTGATTTCATAGGACTGATTCTAGGGTGAGTCTATTGAATGGGAGTAGGGAGTTATTAGACAGACGTATGCAATTATGAATTTGAGATGTTTACACAAACCAAATACAAGTGGAGGAGGGAGCACCGATACAATCATGTCAAAGTTGTGGAGTGTCTTCTTTCTACTTTGATCCAATGCCCGTGTTCCCAACCAGTCAATAGGAATTAGGATCTCATGTTATTCAGAGAATCCAAAAACTCCTTGGACTTTTGTCAAAAACAAATTACTGAAACTGAATGCCACTGCATAACCAAGGGATTCAGGCTTTCGGGTCCATGGGGTAAACATTGCAAAATATGTGCTGTCTTCACTTTTCTGATGTTTATTATGAATGCGTCCTCTGAAAATTGAGTTCACTCTGCAGGTTCCTTCTGTATTTGTATAACCTATAAAGGTCTCAGCGCCCTTCAGTATGATTTGGTTGGCAAAGGATGTTTTCTCTAGGATAATGACAGTTTAGCTTCTGGTTCATCTTATTGTCTGGTGGATCTTTTTTATACCGTGATAAAATGGGAAAGCACTCAGCTGAATCTGGGGTTAGTATGCTGTTGCATGGAGACTTGGATATACAAATAATTGAAGCAAAATGTCTCCCCAATATGGATCTCATGACAGAAAGGATGCGAAAATGCTTTACTGGGTATGGAGCTTGCAGCACTGATTGTGGGAAGTCGGAGAACACCCACCCAGACATGAGGAAGATCATTACTAGTGATCCGTATGTTTCAGTTTGTCTGTCAGAGCAACGGTGGCACAAACTCGAGTCATTCCCAACTCGGAGAACCCTAAATGGGATGAACATTTCTATGTTCAAGTTGCTCATTCAGTTAGCAGAATTGAGTTTCTTGTAAAGGACAACGATGTTTTTGGGGCAGAGCTTATCGGTGTGGCTTCAATACCAGTTGAGCACATCACACCAGGTGATATGGTCGGTGGCTGGTTTCCAATTTCTGGTCAGTACAGTAATCCTATGAAGCCATCTCCTGAGCTGCATTTAAATATCCAGTATAAGCCAATCGACATGAACCCACTATACAAGGATGGAGTTGGTGCTGATGGCCCTCAGAGTGTTGGTGTCCCAAATGCATATTTCCCTCTTAGGAAGGGTGGTAGGGTCACACTATATCAAGATGCTCATGTTCCTGACAATTTTCAACCTCAGATTGAGATGGATGGTGGGAGGACATATGAACAAAACAAATGCTGGGAAGATATTTGTCATGCAATCATTGAGGCTCATCACCTTATCTACATAGTCGGCTGGTCCTTGTATCACCCTGTGAAGCTTGTAAGGGAGTCAACAAAACCTGTTCCCAATGGAAACCCTGTCACCATTGGGGAAATTTTGAAGCGCAAAGTTCAAGAAGGAGTCCGTGTTATAGTGTTGCTTTGGGATGACAAAACATCACATGACAAATTTCTCTTAAAAACAGTAGGATTCTTTCCTCCCATAGAACCTCTTCATTTCCTACTTTGCTGAAATGGATATATATCCTCTAGTCCAACTGGTTAGAGCGTTCCGGCGGCACTCCTCAGGTCCTAGGTTCGACTCCCCGTGGGAGTGAATTTTAGGTTGGGGTTAAAAAAATCCCCTCGTCTGTCCCATGCCAAAGCACAGGCCTAAGGACCGGCCCGTTCTCACAGGGCGACGGTGCCGCTCTGTAAGGGTGGGGCAGGGGTTCGGGGGTTTTCTGGGCCTGCGTGAGAAGGTCTTCTTCTTAATGCAATGCCTGGGGGTGGTCATACCCTCGCAGGTCCAGTTTTTTTTTTATTTCACTATTTTGCTTAAATGGTTGTCAAGAGGTAGACAGATAGCAAACAAGGACTAGATAGTACTCTTGTCTAATTACTAGGTGATAATGATGAAAGGAAGAATATAATAACTGAAAAGGTAGAGGTATTTTGAGGATGTGTAATTCCTTATGGTCAATGTCCCTGGTGTCTCTCCTAAGATTGTTGTCAAGATGAATACACAAAGAACTAAGCTAATAAGGTCAATTGTTAAACTATTTAAACCTGCATATGTTGTGTCTTTTTATTCTTCTTTGTTATTTATGTTGAATTTTCGGTTTATTCTGTAATTATTTATATTTTTCTATCTTAATATAATGATAATCAATTATCTGTGTTTTTCTTGAAAAAAATTATGAACAAGATAAGCCTAAAGAAGAATAGAATGCAAACTGCAAGTTTCAGTTACTGCTCTTATTGTTTTGACTATTAGTGCATGTTTGTTGCTTCCTTTAAAGAAGAATAGTCTGATAGAAATGATGTAGGTGGAATGCAGGATGGTCTCATGCATACACATGATGAAGAAGCTCGAAAATATTTCAGGCATTCAGGTGTCCATTGTGTGCTGTCTCCTCGCTATGCTAGCAACAAACTTAGCATTTTCAAGCAGCAGGTTTGGATATTGTTTCTCCCTTGTTGTTACATACATGTACACTGAATTGCTACATTGCTGGTTTCATCGTATCAAGCACTCATTCTTATTGTCTCTGTTAGTCCTTTGTCCTCTCATGTACATTGTGACTCACTCTCCACATCCTGTGCATTGTCCTCCAAAACGTAAACTTACATTTTGAGCTGATAGAATGTTGAACTTGTACAGAAGATGCCCACTTGCATTTTATTAAAGCTGTATATACTTTTTGGTTCGAATAAAAAGTTGCGAGTTAGTGATAAAGTTGGCAGCTTGATATATATGCTGCTGAAAAAACGAAGACTCAAATTCGCATTGTGTATGTTATAGCATTCTTGTGGAGAAACCTTGGGTAGAAAAAAGTGATGAACTGTTGGCTAGGTATATGAGCATGCTGCTTGCATAGTGCTCTTGGTGAGTCTCCTTAACTGAATTTGAATACAGAAGTATTCGTAATGAAGTTCTGGGTTTGGAGTTAGAATCCGTAGTTCATTGGTCCTACTTATTTTATAGCACTTACACCCTTACCTCTGAGTTCTGTAACACTTACTACTAGTATATCTTAAAAAAACAAGTTATCTTCTCCAGGTTGTAGGAACTTTATTTACACACCATCAGAAATGTGTCATTGTAGACACCCAAGCCACAGGAAACAATCGAAAAATAACTGCTTTTATTGGTGGTCTAGACTTGTGTGATGGCAGATATGATACACCTGAACACAGGCTTTTCAAGGATTTAGATACTATTTTCAAGGATGATTTCCACAACCCCACATTCCCTGTAAGTTCTCTACCATCTATTTTTTCCTCTCCAACTATTTTGCTGACTCTCTTACAGAACTTTCTATGCTAGTATTGATAAAGTCAGCATCATGACAGGTTAATAAGCATGGACCCAGACAGCCATGGCATGATTTACATTGTAAAATCGAGGGTCCTGCTGCATATGATATACTTACAAACTTTGAACAGAGATGGAGAAAATCTGCAAAATGGAAAGTCAGTGTCAGAAGAGCTGTGAGTTGGCATCATGATACATTGGTAAAAATTGATAGGATGTCATGGATTGTTTCCCCCTCTGCAGATGAATTAAATGCACATGTTGTTGAAGAAAAGGATCCTGAAAATTGGCATGTACAGGTACAATGAGTTATTCATATTGGGATCAATGTAACAGCTCTATTCTATTATTACTCTACTAGGTTGTAGATTTGTTTATCTTCTCATATTTGGTTAGGTTTTCCGATCAATTGATTCAGGATCTGTAAAAGGATTCCCAAAACTTGTTCAAGAGGCTGAATCCCAGGTATGATCCATTTCAGCGAATAGCCATGGAATGTGAATTTGTTTTAATGGAGACCTGGCATAATTAATTTAAAAAACATTAAAATGCAAGCTTTCTATCTGTAAGATGCTGTTGTACCCTTTTGTTGTGCAGAATCTTGTCTGTGCAAAGAATCTGCAGATAGACAAAAGCATACACAATGCATATGTTAAAGCGATCAGATCTGCGCAGCACTTTGTCTATATTGAAAATCAGTACTTTATTGGGTCTTCATACTACTGGTCTGCACACCGAAGTGCAGGTAACAAGTTGACTGTTAGCTACATGAATTACTTTTGTTTTGTTCTCGCTTGTTCTTAATCCTCCCATTTGTACCACCATTCCCTCTACATCAGGACTTGCTTTTGGATCTTGTAATATTTGTTGCTTCGGTTTCCACTACTAGACATATAACCTAGTTTAGTTCTAGATCTGTCATTACAAGCAAATAACGACCTTATTTTAGCACTCGTAAGTATTGACTGAGGAATAATTGAACCTTTTACCACTTATCCAAGGTAAAAAGAAAGAGCATAAATATGACTGGTTTGATTGCATAAGGTGATGGAAGAAACTAGTAATATGTAATGCATATACCATTTGATGCATTTTTCTATATCAAGATCACTAAGGCGAATCCAACTTATGATTTGAACTACTCTTTTGGCAACAGGTGCTGAGAACCTAATACCAATTGAATTGGCCATAAAGATTGCAAGAAAGATTAAGGCAAAGGAAAGGTTTGCAGCATACATTGTTATACCGATGTGGCCTGAAGGCAATCCGACAACTGCTGCTATGCAGGAGATACTCTATTGGCAGGTTGGCTCCTCGTCATGGTCGCATTTTCATTGAAAATATTTGATGCACTGTTTTTTCCCTTATGTTTTTTTTTCATTGCTTCCATTTTATCTCTTCAAGGGGCATACCATGTCCATGATGTACAAGATCGTCGCAGATGCTCTACGAAAGGAGGGTCTACATGAAAGCCATCCACAGGAGTACCTGAACTTCTATTGCCTTGGCAAGCGTGAAGTCTTGAATGAAGTTTCGTCGACAAACAATTCCAATGAGAACTCTGCACTGGTAACTACACTGCGTTCTTGAATAAGTTGCTCAAATGTGCTATTTAACTAGATCTGTTTTACAAGGATAGACTGACTTCCTTTCTTTTCTTCCAGCGTTTGGCCCAGAAGTTCAGGAGGTTCATGATCTATGTGCACTCAAAAGGGATGATTATCGACGACGAGTACGTGCTCATCGGATCAGCTAACATAAACCAGAGATCCATGGATGGCTCACGGGACACAGAGATCGCCATGGGTGCGTACCAGCCTCACTACAGCTGGGCTGGAAGCGGCAGCCCTCCAAGAGGACAGGCACGTCTCTCCTCTGTATGGAATTCTTTGCACCACAGATAGCGCTGAAGCACATAAGCCATAACACATGTGCCGGTTGCATTGCTGTTCATCTGCAGGTGTATGGGTACAGGATGTCTCTTTGGGCGGAGCACCTGGGCACAGTGGAGGAGTGCTTCCGCCGGCCAGAGTCCGAGGAGTGCGTGCAGCGGGTGAACCAGATGGCAGATGACAACTGGGCATGCTATGTCTCGCCACAGATGGTGGATATGAAGGGCCACCTCATGAAGTACCCCGTGAGGGTTGAACAAGATGGGACGGTGGGACTGCTGCCTGGGCAGGAGAGCTTCCCAGATGTCGGTGGCAAGGTGCTGGGCACGCACTCGTCGCTCCCCAATGCGTTGACGACGTGAGTTGAATGGAGCTTGAAGAAGCTCGAAGGTGGCACATGGAGAACTGAAGCTCTGCTCGTCAGAATCATTGGACGTGGTCCAACAAGTGGTTGATACTTGGGAAAGTTGTTGGTCGATTTATAGCTTTAAGGCTGTAATGTATGATATGATGAAAAAGTGTATGTATGTATGTATTATACATTATGATGAAAAGAGACGTGCATGGTAACGGTTTTGCATATGGCAATATTATTCTTTGGCCATTGCAATTTCGTTGGGGCTCAATGCCATCTTTGTCTTTGTTTGATATATGTTGTTTTTTCATGGTTGTAATAACCTCTGTGTTAAGCTAGGAACTGCTTCAAGGATATAGACATCTTGGATCCTATGGCAACTGGCGACAAATTCTGTATGGAAAATGAGATATCCAACATGAATAAGAGACTATTCAGAAAATGTTTGCTTAAATTAGCTTCTGGTAACAGCTGATTATATTGAGGCCAAAAACCTTAAGTAAAGATCTTTTCTCGACTAAAAAACAGGGATCTGGATTACTGGATAGAGTTCTGGTTAAGATGTTGGAATACAAGATACCCGTTTGGCACTTCAGTTCCCGTCGTTCTTGCTGTGTGTGTTCGAATCATATGATTTCAGGGAAAGATGTTGCAAGGTCCAAGGACAGGTTAGTACTGAAATTCAGACTAAACTGCGTTCATGCTATGTATGTTCGAATCATATGATTTCAGGGAAAAAATGTTGCAACGTCCAAGGACAGGTTAGTACTGAATTCAGACTAAACTGAATATGTGCAAACTGAAGATGGTTTCTTTGGAAACGAGATGAGAATACTAATGGAGGCCACTGCCTAGTAAATTGGCCGACCGACTGCATGCCCAAGGACCTGGGGGAATGGGGGTGCCGGACTTAAAGAGATTTGGGAGAGCGTTGCGCCTCCGATGGCTATGGCAGGAATGGATGGATGACTCCAAACCGTGGGTGGGAACGGAAGTACCATGTAAGGATATAGATCGCCTCCTGTTCAACGCCTCCACCACGGTCACAATTGGCAATGGACACAAAGCCCGGTTCTGGCATCACGCCTAGCTAGAAGGGGAGGCTCCCAGATTTCTGGCTCCTAACCCGTTCAAGCTGGCACGCAGAAAAAATAGGACGGTTAGCCAGGAATTACACAATGGGAGTTGGATCAGATCACTGCAGACGCGTATCACAACAACTGCGCAAATCAGGGAGTTCATCGATCTGTGGATCAAATTACTAGATGTGCAGCTGCCGGAGGGCGTGCAGGACTCAATCACTTGAAAGTGGACGGCTGAAGGAAATTACTCCACTCGCTCAGCATATAGGATACAATTTCGAGGTTCACATCGGAAATTTCACCATGACCTCATCTGGAAAGCACATGTGGAAAGCAAATGCAAAGTCCACGCCTGGATCCTCATGATGATAAAATCCTAACGGCAGATAATCTTGAGAAGAGAGGATGGCCACACCAAGAGCACTGTGTCATGTGTAATGGCCTCTGGAGACAGGGGTACATCTCTCCTTGTGCCCTTTCGCTAGAGCAGTTTGGAACCAAATTCTGTCCTAGGAAAATTTCAGTGTGCAACTACCACAGCCGTACCTGCTTTGCCAATTGGTGGGAGGAGGCGGCAAGCAAGGTGCCAAAACAAGACCGAAGGCGGTTCAATGGAATCATCATTTACATTGTATGGAACTTATGGAAGGAGAGGAATAGGAGGATCTTCAACAACGCCTAGAAAACGGGCCAGCAGGTGGCCTACTTGACAAAAGAGGATATAATGCAACGTCGCAGGCTGTGTCCTTTGATAGGTAAATCCACTTAAGGGTGGGACATGTGTTTCATTTATGGTCCTACGACCGTAGTGTTGGCACCAGGGGTGCCTCCTTTACATAAAACTCTTACCCCTTACTTAATTGAGCTTAATTGAGCGGCACTGCCTTTTGTTTAAAAAAAAAGAATATGTGCAAAGGAGCACAGTTCCAACGACTAATGCATGAAGGGTTCATAGCAATATTTTTCTGGGGAATTCTGTTCTTTTGGCATTGGTGGTGTCATTGTGTCGACACCGAATTGTGGCTAGCTGACAGCACATTATTGCTGATTTGAAACAGAGATACATTCTAGAATAATGCATGGTTTCGTGGTGTAGTTGGTTATCACGTCAGTCTAACACACTGAAGGTCTCCGGTTCCAGTCCGGGCGAAGCCAATTTTTTTAATCGCAAAACAGGATTGCTCCTCTCTCTCTCTCTCTCTCTTTAACCTTGCTTCCACCAGGCTTAGACCATCATGTGCTATCACTTACACAAACATATACTATCACCAGTGGACGCATTGAGGGCGAACAGTGATTCGATGTGATAGGCCTCAAATTTATAGTCTCTTATAGATAAGGTAAGGTAATAATATCACTGCCTTTTGGGATTACCAGGTGAAACGGACATCTTGTGCTACCTCTTAGATATCCTACAAAAGGTAGAAGTAAAGCACTTCTGTGTAAAAACAATTCTTTACACGGGCCTTTTGCTGGTTGCTGTGCTAGCGCTACACTGTTGCCCTTGTTACACAAGAAAAGTTCCCAGGCTTCTCCCGCACAACTCTGTTCCCAAAGGCAGTCAACACTGACTTGAAATTCAGCCCCCTGTGCACCTGCGCAGAATCAAATGCCGAACAAAGTTTAATTTCATCCACATGATGTAAATCCCAAAATATGAACATGGAGCACGACCCACCTCAATGACGTGTTCCATCTTTGTATTGCACCCAGAAGTGAAACATCGCTATATTTCTCACCACAGCCCAAAACTACGAGGTACGAGCACCTCATTGTCACACCCAGTTTTAAAGACAAAACTGAGTACTAACTGTATATGTGTTTAAAAAGTCAAATCACACATATAGTGACAAATTACAATAGTATTAAGAGACAATGCTTTATTATATAACGAAAATATACTCATATTTAATACTTACATCAGAGTATCATGGAACGGTAGGTAATCTTCAGGCTCCATCCTTCACAGGGACAGCTGACTGGGGTATCATATGCCTAGCACTTCTATTAGTCTTCTGGGAACTCATTCGTAACTCCATCAATCTTCGGAGCAACTTTTCTAAAGTCTGGGGGTGTGAAAAAATAGCAAGGGTGAGTACATGTCGTACTCAGCAAATATAACATAGGGTTCATGAGGCTCAAAATGTTTGACACATGTTTAACAACATTTAGTTTTTAGTTATCATAATCTTAGCATATGAATAACATCAAGTTGTCATAATCCCATAGTAAACACATGATTAGTGTAAACATGATTAATGAATAGCATAAACAAATAATTAATAGTGATCTTCTATTCCATAAGGGTTTCAAGGCCGCTCGTGACCGTGAGCACAACTGATATACCAGTTTTACACTATGCAAATGTTGTACACCTCACTGTGAGTCGTGTTTCCCATTTGCCCGGGGTTTGTAAGTCCCTAAAATACTACCAAGGTGAGCAGGCAAGGTACACTATGAAGCCTTTCAAATGTTCGTCTAACAAGTTAGGGCCGCTAGATTTCTGTGCCCTGCAAATGTAGGGCTCCCCTTCCCGATGACACATTCCGCGCAGGCTATACACACAAGGACAGAGGCCGCACTACACCCAACCCGAAACATACCCCATTTGCGCCTTTCGGTAACCTCTAACAAGCTAGAAAAAGATTCTTATACTGAGCTAAAGCCAGAGCCATGTGGCCCTCACAGTTGTACTGTAAGTCCCGGATGATCACTTACAGATAAGTCCTTAGGGAGAGGAATCTAGAGCACCATAAAACCCAATGCTCCAGCCCTCTTAAACTAAGTTGCTAAAAAACATATTTTAACGTTTATTGCATATACCATTAGTCAAGTTACAAGATTATGGTTTCGTTGAGCACTAGCATTAGCTACCCAATGCAATATCCCATAGGAGTTAAGGCATAAGTACAATTCTAGGAAATCCTTTTCAAGGTGACACATGCATATATGAATTAAATGTATTAAGGTTAATAGGAAACGAAGATCGTCCCATGCTATACTTGCCTTAAACACTTGCTCAACTCTCACACCATCAGCTTTCGGCCATCACCTTCTGATCTGATCTCAGCGCTCATAAACAGTTCTTAGTTCTACTCATAGCAAGCACCATGCATAGCCAATCATACAAGCAACAAATAAAAGCAACTAAAAACAGTACACCACATGAGAGAAACACAACGTACTAAAAGAGAGCTAATTCTACGGTCACGAATCATAAGAAACGTCGATAACAAAACTACCGTTAAAAAGAAATGGCTACTGGATGTTTTATATTATAAAAGAAAAGGTAAAGCCTACATGCTTGTTTTAATTAAACAAAATCATGTGAGGTAACTAATTTAGATTAGAGAAGTTATATATTTCAGTTTAAAAAGACAGGGTTAAAACTAGTTATATTTTATTTATTATAAATAGTTGAACATCATTTATACCGATAACTTTAACTTACAAATGCAAATTGACATGTGCGAGCATCTAATCGAATTGTATATACGTGTTTAAACTAAGCAAACTTATAATTTAAAAGCATGTTAATGTTTGCAATTAGTCATATTAATATTTGTTTATAAAACACCGAAATATATACCTATATGGCTTTTAAATTAGAAAACTAGTTGCTAGCACATTAATCAATTTAATTATAAACATGTAAATTACGTCTCTACAAATCTAGTGTGGAAAGAACAAGCTGAAACATAGCTACGGCGTGAACATGTTAACTTTAGAAGAATTATCAGGAAATAAGATCGATGGAAATATGAACAGAGGAGCAGTGAACCGCACCGGAAAGACACATGATACGAGTTTACATGGAATTAACCATGTACGTAAGATGGAATTAGATGATGGGAGCATGACGAGACAGGATGAATAATGTATGTAATTTCAGATGCAAGCATGACGTCTAGAATGTGTGGTAACC